CGCAGCGGGAGAGCCGGGCTGCGGTGCCGCCGGCCCTCCCACGTCACTGCCTTTTACAGAGGGGGCTTTCGGGGTGGTGGTTGCTGCGCTTTGGTGGGCTTTTGTGTGCGTGCGTGTGGTTTGGTTTTGTTTTCCGTTTGTTTTTTACTGCGTAGAACCGTAGAGATTTCCTTCGGTAGAACTAAGCCACGGACAAGCAGGCCTGTCCTAGGGCTTTGGAAACAAGCTGACCAGACGTGAAATCAAGACCAGTTTAAATGCAGAAAAAAACTACCGCTTTATAATCAACTCCACACTGTTGTATGATGCCAATAGCGTTGTCTGTATATAATGATAAGTTGCAGGAATTATTACTGATGCCAGAAGTTGCTTTGATGCCTACCAGAATCTCTTGTAAAAGGAACATCCAGGATTTTTGTGCCAGAAAAGCGTAGAGAGAGAAGTCTTACTAGTTGTACTTCATCTTGTGTTTTGTACTAAAGCTGCAGATGCAGTAGAAACTCGGTCACACAAAGATTTAGGTACAGTAGCGTGAAATTCAGTATTCTGTTCAAAGATAGTTGTTTCTAATCAATTCTCTAACTTCATATCCTAGCACTGACTCAGAATGAACTACAACACGTTATTTTAAATTACAGAGTGGTAGCTGGGGAGGGAGAATTTTCTGCAGCTGCTGAAGTTGTCAGCTCCGCACTACAGAGTCAGGAAGTAAACATAGCTAGACACAAGGAAAATGTTTAAACTGAGTCTACGTAGTCTTTCCATAATCGTATGTGACTGTTGTATTTTTATAAATCGTATGTGTACGGTAGTCTAGTGTGTTGCATTCCAATTACTGGTTTCTTAAATTCAGAGTATTTTTTACTTTTGTGTTCTTTGACAGTGTTACTAAGAGCTTCTAGCCCTGGCCTAGGCTAGAAAAAAGGGTGGTTATTTTTTCAAGCTTTGTAACACATAATAGCTAACTCCTAAATGCTGCTGATTTAATCCTCTACAGCAGGTGCTGCTGTCTTCAGAAATGTTTGCTGGCAGTGCTGGAGTATGTTCAGTTCTTGGGGAGGTTGCCTTTTTGTAAATGGCCTCATCCTGATTCAGGAAGGGCCAGAGGCATTGCCATGGAGTGAACTATAAAAGCTCTACATCAGAAGTAGGTGAGTGGAGCTTTGCCTTTTACATTTAACCTTAGCTAAGGATTTACTTTTAGGAATGCAACATCTGATAGGAAATTATTTACTCAAAGATTTGGAAAATTGTCAGTGATGGTCTAAAGCTGCTGGGGATGCACCATTTCACTCTCCAGCTAAGCTGGCAGACAATTTAGATTTCTTTCCTCAATTTCTAGGTTTTATAACTTCAGAAATGAAAAACATTTCCTCATGGTCGAGACACTACAGTTCTTTGGGAGATCTCTGAGTGTTTGTGACATTCAGTCCTCAGCCATTTAGCTGCCAGGTGCATCAGAAATATCTTCAGACTGTTTAGAACAAAGAGGTGGTTCTCCTATGCAGAAAGTAAAGCTATTCTTGCTCAACTTTGGTTTATTTTGGATGCAGACAGACACGGGAAGAATCTGAGCTCGAAAGGTGAATGTTTTTATGGTGCTGTCGGTCTAAAATATAATGTATCACAATAGAAATTGAAATTTGGTGATAGCTGCAGCCACACGTCCCAATAGTAGGCACCCAGTATTGCATCCCCTGGTTTTTGTTAACAGACTTGCCTTTGAGTGATTGTACTGTGGGAACATCAATTTAACGCCGTGTATGCGTATTGACACAATACCTTGTTCTTTTCAAGACTCAGCAAAAACTCGTCAAAAGGTTAGACTCTATCCAGACAGTTTAATAGTTTGTTTGTCAGTTTTGATATTTAAAACTCAAAATCCATTCTCTATGCAGATATATATTTAGTTTCTTGTGTGACTAATAGCCAGATGAGTCACCATGTTAAAAGGTTGTTTTTCAGTCTGTCCTGTTTTGACAAGCATATCTGTCACAAAGCTCTGAATAAAGAAATAAGTAAATGAAAGTTGTGAATAACTTCTCGGCTTTTTTTTTTTTTTTCATCAGTGTTGACTGACATTGATTTTTCAGCTGCCTTTGTAGTAGAGTTTATATGCTGGAGGTACTACCAGTTGATCATTACTATGAATTAATATGGAGCTAGTTACAAATTTCTGCATTTGCTGTAGGTGGAATTTCCATACAGCACTGGGTGAGGGCTGGTGTAAGAGCCCTAAAGGTTTTGTAAAAGCTGAGCTGTCTGCCAGATACAGAAATGGTATATAGTTTTTATTTATTCATTTTTATTTTTTTCCCCAAGCATGATGCTCCATTTTCTTTCCACCCAAACCTTCCAAATACCTGCAAATGTCTGTACTAATAAATCCTCTAAAAAACCTATAAGCTTCATCCTGAATTGAAGGTAAGCTTTTCTTAGCAGAGTGTGGATATGTAAAAATGCTGAAATGTTCTAAGTTTCTTGTGCCCACACTAGTTCTGAATTGGTAGTGAATGAAAAATGAGAAGTAGTGGGATAAGGGAATATCACGAATGAAAAATAAACAGTTAAGCTTGTTTTTTCTTGCTTCCGAAACCAGCACCCACAGCTGACCATTAAATGTTTTTTACTACCTTAATCATAACTTCATTTATTATCCTCCACTTCCGTCATTGTCAAATAACTTAAATTCCTTTTCTTGCCCTCTCACTTGTCATTCCTTTGAACTGTACCCCATTAAGTGGCTAGGGAGAGTTTAACAAGGAGACTTCTAGGGTTGTGTGAGTGAGTCTCCATGGATATCTGATGTGTCACCCTGACAGCGGAAGAACCAGAGTAAGTCAATGAATCGTTAGCCTCAAAAGTCCCAGAGAACTGCCATAGGTTGTCACACCTGGGAGCGCGTTCCCTGTGCAGAGCCCCCTGCCCGGAACAGGATCTGCAGGTGTAGGCTAGCACGCACCTAGGCCGCGCGTCCGTCTGCGCCCCGGCACGGGCGCCACGTCAGTCGGCAGTGGGACCGCAGCCCCCGGCTCCCACAAGGTGCTTCAGGAGCCTGCATCCTCCCTGCCAGCTTGCCCTTGGAGGACTCTGATGCCTGCTCCCCTGTGTGGTGATTTCGCAACCTCTGCAAAAGCCATTTAAGACAATTTTGGGAAAATGTGCAGCTCTTCCTTTTTTCTTGCGGAGGTACGTGGGGGACCAAAGCAATGCATGATTTATAGGGCCTAGGGAGCTGAGTGGATGATACATTTTTTATAACAGAAACTTTCATGATGGTCTCACAGCAAAAGCAGACTGCTAACAGCTTTCTTAAAAACATGGCTCTGGCTTAAGGTAGACTTGTGCGTTATAGTTCTTGTAGCAACGTTTACGGCTGTAGTCTGTGGGTGAACTATCTGCCTCAATGCTAGATAACAATTCAAAGAGTTGTTTGTATTTCAGCAGCAAACGTGTTGCTGTAACTGTATGTGGCAAGAAGTTTATCTCAAATCCATGGCTGCCAAATCTTTTTTGGGATAGGATGCTTGGTAGTTTGCACAGATACCTAGGCAACACGATGGGAGGGGAAGAGAAGAAATGAGAAGAACTTCTTAGCAAGCTGCGTACCTGTGCAGTATAGCTGTTCCTGTGGTACGTGTGCTCCTACTGCACCCAAGTCCTTAACATACACATGGTTTAAGCCCCTTGGTAAACCGCTAGTTAAGTTACTCTGGAAGTGACCTGTAACAAGTGCGATAGTCCGGTCAGTCCGTCTTACTGCCTGGATACTGGCTCCTGCATTCGTGCAGTGACAAGGCTTGAGAAACTGTATTGCATCAAGCTGGAATATTCATTCACTGGTATGTGACACCACTCATGAGGCACATAAGTGTCAAGCCTACACTTAATAGTTTCATACCGAAAAATAAACCACTGTCATTGGAGGAACTTTGTATAGCACCAAGCGTCTCTGCACCTGCATTTCATGCTTTGGTGTAGGATTTGAGTTGGCAGAGTGTTTTCAAGGTGCTAGTGTCTACGTCTCATTGGTATACACTGAGGTCAGCTTCTGGAACGAGCTCAGGAACTTGACTCCTTACGCTGACAGGAAAGCTTCATCCTCTGAGCTGGCCTCCTGCCTCAGGTGCATAGGGTCATACCTGTTCAGTACCTACGTAGGAAGTAAGTTGCAATCAGCATTATGGTTATGCCTTTTCATTTTGAAAGAATATTTGAATCCTCTAATAGAAGATGAAAATCTGTTAATAAAATGATTTCACTGTTTTCCAGTGGTGGGGAAAATGATGATGAGTCCGACCAGAACTGGAAACCACCAGAAAACAACCTGATCCAGAAGTTACTAGCACAGATTGAGTATTACTTCTCAGATGAGAACCTTGAGAAAGATGCCTTCCTTCTAAAGCATGTGAGAAGAAATAAGATGGGCTATGTCAGTGTTAAACTCCTCACTTCTTTTAAGAAGGTAAGCTGACTTTTTAAGACTTGAAGTGCCTTGTGTAAGCCTGATGAATCTAAAAACAGCAGGAGAGATGAGATGAAAATAACTTATTTTATAAGAGGCGGTTTTACAGTCTTTATCTGCCTCTCAGGGGTTGGTTCAGTTTTGAGGTTATGGTTAGGTACGTTCTCATCCAGAACTTTAATTGCTGACCTCGTTCATGATTGGCTAAGGAAATCACAGGCTTTTAAGCAACTCAGCTTTTAAATTATTATTCTGGGAGAGAGTAGGGTATAGTAAATGGGACACTGGATAAAATTCATTTGTAGATCAGTTACTCAGGAGTAGCTAAGTAATCCTGATAAAGCTACTTTCCTGTCTCCGAGAAGGGATAGTGAATCTGACCTTTGCAAATGTATGGAGATCCAAAAATTAAGAGAGTAGAAAGTATATGGTAACTCAAGTCACTTAAAGGTGAGATGGGCTTGATTCTTTTTTACCTTTTTTTTTTTTTTTAATATTAGGAACTCCTATGTACATATGTGTATGTAACTACTTTCTAAACTTACATTAGAAACACTTTGTCAAGACTCTAAATCTGACAGTTTTGCAGAGCTATTCTGTCTAGAAGTTAAGCCACTCCCAGTCTCTTCAGACCACTTCAAACAGATTGTAACAGTAATAGATAAACTCTTAAAAACGCTCCTTGGAATGGAGAAGTTTGGCGGTTTTTTAAACTGAGATTTTTGAGGGAGGAAAAATCAGTTCAATAAAACAAAGTCCTAAACTTGGCAAAACTACCTGTTTGGCAAATTTAACAAAATAAAACCCATAGAACCTGCATTTGGTCATCGTTCAGACCTAGATACGGAATGACCGAACAGCACTTGAGCAGGCTTGAAGATAAAGTATGATTTTCAGTTTGATATATAGTGTCAGTTCCTATTTTCAGTGGATTCAACAGGACACAAGCTTTACAGGAGCTCACCAATGCACATTATAACAGGCAAACTGTTTACTTTTTCACTCAAGACTGCTACATGAAACTTAAATCCAGGTTTCTGTTTGTAGACTGGACCCTGCATCTGCCTTAGGCTTTCTGTAATTAGTTTGAGTGGGTTTGAGCAGTTGTGCAGCTTATCCTGTCTCTGTCTTGAAGGTGAAACACCTTACCCGTGACTGGAGAACCACGGCCTATGCACTGAAGTTCTCGGACATGCTTGAGCTCGATGACGACAACAGAAAGGTTAGAAGAAATACTCCAGTTCCAGTGTTTCCAAGTGAAAACCTCCCTACCAGGATGTTACTGGTGTACGATATCCACCTGGTTTCTGAGCTGCAGGCTCTTAACAAACAAAAAGAAAACGGATGCATGCAAGAAGGGGTAATGGAGCATCTCCTCAAAACCTTTGTAACTTTCGGTGTAATATCATCAGTTCGTATTCTCAAGCCTGGCAGGGATCTACCACCTGATATCAGGAGGGTCAGCAATCGGTACACCCAACTGGGAACTCAGGAATGTGCAATTATAGAATTTGAAGAAGTAGATGCTGCCATACGTGCTCATGACTTCATGTGTGCTGAAAAGAAAGAGACGGGCATGAAAGTTGTCCTAATAGGCATGAAACCTCCCAAGAAAAAAGTTGCCAAAGACAAGAACCACGATGAAGATACCAGCAAGAGCCTTAAGAAGGCTAGATCCCTTAATAAGAGAGTTGAGGAACTTCAGTTTGTTGGTGATGAATCTTCGGCAAATAGCTCTTCTGACCCAGACAGTAGTCCTACATCACCATCGTCAGGACGCAGAAGTGCCGCCACAAATACTGTCAGTAATTTGAGCCCTGTCATTCACCCAGCCAACCACTTGAGTCCTAATGTGTCACCCAGATCAAGTCCCTGGAACAGTCCATCTTCACTAAGAAAAGTCACCAAGAAGTCTCCACTGGCTGAAGGCAACAAGCTTAACCCAAGCACCAGCCCTGACGTTCCAAGGAAATGTACAGATTATTCCTCGGATAGCAGTATCACTCCTTCTGGTAGCCCCTGGGTGCAAAGAAGAAAAGCTCAAACTGTAACACAAGAAAAGAGTCCTGTCGGTAGCCCCGTGTTGGCTCAGAAAATACAAAATGCAGATGGTCTACCTGTAGGGGTGCTGCGGCTGCCTAAAGGTCCTGACGGCACTAAGGGCTTCCACAACAGATGTGAAAGGAGAAGGGCTACAAAGAACGAATAAACCATTCTTAAGTGTCTCACAAGTCACTCAACTGCTTTGGTTCAAGCCTGGTGAAAAATTATCACTTGAGTGACTAAGTCAGTATTTAATTTTAAAAGCTTTTGTATTCATACAGAGACTTTATAATGTGTATATTTGTATATTCACTTCACAGAATCAGAGAACAGTTGAGGTTGGAGGGCATCTCTGGAGATGGCGCAGTCCACCTCCTTTGCTCAGGCAGGGTCCCTTACAGCCAGTCACTTAGGGTTCTGAGTATCTGCAAGGACAGAGACTCCCCCGCCTGTCTGGGCAGCGTGTTCCTGTGTTCAACCCCCCCACACACACAGTAGAAAGTGTTTCCTTATGTTCAGGTGGAAGTTCCTGTGTTTCAGTTTGTACCCCTTTTCCTGTTCCTGGGTATCGCTGAGAAGAGCCTAGTTCTGTCCTCTTTACTCCTGCCCATCGGATCCTGGAATGCATTGATGCCATCCGCCCCTGAGCCTCCTCTTCTCCAGTCTCAACAGCCACGGCTCTCTAGGCCTCTTGCGTGAGAGGCGTGCCAGTCTTTTCATCACCCTATGCCCTACCTAACGCAGCACCCTTATCTGCATCGTGATTTTTTTAATTTATTAGTTTGAAATGCCTAAATATATAAACAGGCATATAAACCATTCATGTAACTACATTATTTGCAAAGCTACAACCCCGGAGAGCAGTGTGATTACTGACAGTTCAGGAGCTGTATTGGGGTAAGCTGTGGTACGTTACCAGCCTGATTGTAAGGAATAGAAGTCTTTCTGTGTTTGTCTCAAAAGGACCTCTGAGAAACTTGTGCTCCAGGGAGAAGTTGCTCTCTGCTTGCATACCTCTCCAAAGCCAGTACTGTTTAGCAGGACCAAAGTGTGCATTTTTCACGTGATGCGAATACAAGATGGAGCATTGGAGACTGTTCTCTAGGCATTCTCTCATATTACCAGATGGAAATAAAGGAAAATATTAACTTGGTCTAGAGCTACTAAGTTGAGCTGCGCCTGAATAGACAGACCTCATCTTACCCTGTAGGACATACTTGAAATTTCCACTGCATTCAGGGAGGAACAAGGGCCCTGCCCCGTTACTAATGGTTACTTCAGCAGCGATGCTTCATTCCAACTGTGTGTCACAGTCATCTTTATACAATACTATAAACTAAACAAGGGTTATCTCGCCGTTAACTCTGAATTTAACAAGCAGGCTCAGCAAGAAGCACTTATATTAACTAATCCTACCTGAACCCTAAGAAGGAACCTCTGAAGTTTTACTTACAGGAGTTACACTCCTGAAAAATACCCAGCAATAGTAAGAAAGTGAGGTTTCAGCTTCTAATGTACAGCTTGGGACCTGTGCACAACAAAGTTCTAATCGGATGGTGATTCTTCATTCCAAAACTTCTCCACATCCTTTCCAACCTTCATTTCCACTCCAAGTGTAACACTTCTGCAGTGTAAATAACTGCAGTAACGCAGTTAGAAACCACCATAGAGAAATCCCCCCGTTCTGTGTATCATTTTTTTGCCACCCAAATACATTCCTGGTTCTTCTGCTTCCCACCGCTAGGATCCTCCAGGTTACCTCTGACTTCCATTACCAGCTGAGACACTTGAAATACCGTTAAACGCGAAGCGGTGGGGTTTTAAATCAGCAGCGTGTCTGCAAGTATCTAAGTGACAGGGTAAGGACAGGGTCTGCAGAAGACTGATTCCGTAACTCCAGATTACATGTGACTGCCCTGTTTCACCATGTATCCAGAACTCTTGTTTCATTAACCATCAGGGAAGGGGTTTTTAATTCTAAAACCAGGCAGCATGTGTCATCACGTACCAAACTGTCTGGGGGCAGCAGTACAACTGAGGCAAGGCAGTACTTTGACGACACACAGAAGTCAATTAAAGGGAAATATTGAGAACTAAACATACTAGTCCACAATGTTAGAAATCTCTAGAACACTCTATGCTTGCAGGAAAAAAAAAAAGAAGTTGAAAATAGCATTTGCCAGGGCTATGCTCTCTGAATGAACACACCTACACGTCACATTTGACATGTAAACCTTGAAAATTCGAACTTTCTTCTGTATGACACTAACAGTTTGAAACTAAAAATCTCATCAGACACTAATTAGGAGTCTTAGAAAGTGTTATACTTGACAGATAAAGCGAACACTGAGGGTGACCCCTTAGTAAATAAACAGGAAGTTTTTCTTTGCTAATAAACTAAATACTGTGTTACTAAAGAGTAGCAAGCCATCACATATTAAAAAATACTATAAAAGTTATTTTACAAGCGAATGACATCTCACTTGAGTGAGTGTAGGCCCACGTACCCTGAGACTAAGACATACATAACTATAACATTCCAGAAAGCCGCTCAATCTGTCTTTAGAGAGCTTTTCAGTAAGAACGGAAAAAGAAGGCATTTACCATAGCAATTACGTTTGTAGAGAGAAAATACTAATTTGGTGCGACAGCAAGCGATAATGCAGCTTGATCAAACAAAAGATAACGTCATCAGTGAAACTATCTGGGAAGTAACCTACAGTACTGTTCATAAATAAAAAGTCAGCATGATGTCTTGTTCTGAGTTCAGTTAAGAACATAAAAAACCCACCGTTCTGCTTCACTTAATTTTCCCCTATCTCCAAAAGGAGTGTTTTGGAAATTGGAATATTGGAAGACATTCTGTGGAAACCTCAGGCAGCCACACAGACATACCAACTTCTCTGCTATCTTCCCTCCCGACCTTCCCACACACACTTTCTTTTTTTCCTTTTTGTTTCTTATTGCCGCTTTGGAGGCACAACAACTACTTTATGCTGATTGTATTAAAAAAGACCAAAACAGACGTCCTGAACAGTTTTTGTATCATGGCATTTCTGTTCATTATTCCTTGTAGAGCCCAGAAGGTTCGCTTGTTTAATTAAACAATGTAAAAACATCCCAAGTGTGAAATACCTTCTCTCCGGATACCTCCTACACCAGCTGTCAACATCTAGTATGAGACACCGGGGCATGTGTACGTCCGTATAGATGTCGATCGCTCCGCAGCGACACACACGCACGTGCGTCAAGACAGGCAGGGGAACCCTGTCCCGCCCGCTGTCACAACAGGGGGGAGCTGCTGGCTCCGGGGACCGGCACTCCCCAAATCCTGCAGCAGGTCACATGTGCTTCTCTCCCGTACGTCCCAAACACGTGCGCGTGCACACCTCAAGTAGTGGCTTCAAAAACATGGAGGTTGAAGCTATTTTTATTGCTTTGTTACAAGAAACAAACAGCAATTCTAAAAAGCGTTTTAAGAGTTGCACCATTTCCCCCAAGGCGCTCAAAATCCTTAACTCTGTGGAAATCCCACCAGTGCCGCGCACACCAACAGGCACCGCCACACATGCCACACAACCCGCAGCGGGCTTCAGCCATGCACGTAGGCCAAGCAACACAGATGCAGGGTTTAACTCCTCGGGGACAAATATTTCATTCTCCCTGAGATTGTTTCTGTCTTCACACGCAATCAATTGCTCAAAACTTCTGTTTAGAAACAATACGAGAAACAACCACGCACACCATAGGAACAAACTGCTCGGCAAAATCTTGCCAACAGAGATGTTTTAACAGCTGTGCCTTGATTTTGTTCTGACTCTCAAATGTTTGTAGTATGATGGCATATTTCAACAAAGTATCTTTTAAAAATGTCCTTTCAACTGGAGAGAAACAACATGACGACACTTTTGGAATTTTAGTGGCTGATGGAGAGCCCTTCCCAGCCATGAAGGAACATTTACTTCTGTCCCCACTAACAAAGGATGCATTCCTGTTGTCTTCCTTTTGCACCGGTGCAATGTACGGGCTGCATTTATAAACCTGAAGTCTGAAAAAAGCCAGGGACTTTGGTAAAAAAATGCTTATTAACTAAGGTAATACACCCAGGCTGTTTAGAATGACAGTTTGATTAACCAAACAGAGTTGGCTTCAGTGTGCACCACTGTTCCCTCAGCTTTGCTTTCACCACGCTTGAGGCAAAGATGTAGTTGATTGATTCATACGAAAGATCCCACATCTGTGACCGAGTCAGATTAAATGTTTTTGCAACCAGCTCGTATTCTTGCGACAGATCTGTTGCAAAGACACCTTTATCATCAGTCTAGAGTTAAATTGAAAGAAAAAAAAAAAAGTTTAAGTTAGTTCCTCTACATCAAGAAGGGGTTTTTCTACACATTACAAACCAGTTTTATCTTGCTGCTTCACATTTTATTCCACGGTTCTTTCATCTGCTAGTAATTATGCCATACTTTATTTGCCCTGTTCTCACTCAAAATTAATAAATTATTCAAACATACAGGAAAACTTCCTAAAGTGATGGCACAATTTATCAGTAAAGTAGGGTTTCCTGTTGGAATGGCTAGAAAGATGGCTATCCAGTGATGCATACACTCAAGCTATGTCAGCACGTGCAGGTCTCCTTATTCCTCTTCTCCCTTTCCTCAGATCTAGAACCAGAGCACACTCCGTATTCCTACATCTTCAGGAGGAAACTGTCTCGCCCTGCACCCCAAGTGTCAACAAGAATGACTTGGGACTGACGGAAGGACCAGGCTGGCATAGAAAACACAGTCTCGAAAGCCACCTAAAGATTACTCATATAAAAGGAGCAAGTTAGGATTATTTCAGGGTTAAGGAGATTACCCCTCTGCAACCCAGAGCCCTTGTGTCCCCGCAGAGAAGAATGCTAACTATATCCTGTTAACACAGGAGTAGTTGTTTCTTCCTACTCCTCCTCTTGTTTTTATAGGCCTTTATGGGTAAACTGCTTTCTTACGTGACTTCACTGGTTATCTAGACTCTTCACAACTGAAAATCTCAGAAAAAATCTCTAGTCATGAACTATTTTTCACCTAATACAACAGAATTGAAGGTCGGTATTTCTACAATAAAGGATTGAGGCTCACTCTAATAATAAGCACAACACTCCAATACATATACACACAC